TTAGATATCTTAACGAAACTTGGTACGTACACTTCTTTCTGGCGTAGGACGGATGGTATTGAAAATGGGCAAAATCGGACAATAACCACGCCTACCTCCCATATAACGGTAATTTTCAGAAATACGAAAACTGCGATATTTTAGTAACTACTGAAGATTATTCACTCAAAATTGATACTTGCAATAATTTTTAGACGACAAATAAGAATATTAAAAATTTTTGGAAAATGGGCGTAGCCACGCCCACTTATGGTTACATGTGTATATCTTGGTAACCGCTGCACCAATTTCTTCCAAACTTGGCGCAGTTATTGGCCTTGGTACAGCATACCAAATGGCCGAAATTTTTTTAAATCGGACAATAACCACGCCCACATCCCATATAACGGTAATTTGGAGAAATACGAAATCTTCGATAAATCAGTAAATATTAAAGCTAATTTATTCAAAATTGATGCCTGCAACAATTCTTTACCAAGAAATACGTTTATGATCAAATTTTGGAAAATGGGCGTGGCACCGCCCACTTATCATCACATATATGTATCTCGGTAACCGTTCTTCCAAATTGTACCAAACTCGGTATGGTTATTGTGCTTGCCACATAAAAGCAAAAAGTTAAAAATTATTGAAATCAGACTAAAATTGAGGCCGCTTTCCATATAGGAAATGCTTGAAACTTCAATATTTCGAAATTTAAGGACGCTAATATACTCAAAATTGATACACCCCGGCTTACCATGTAGCGGCAGCTTTCGGAAAGGTGAAAAACATATATATTTAATGTTCGGCTCCGCCCGAACTTAGACTTTCTTACTTGTTTCTTATTGTATTAAAAAAATAACGTTCGTAACACTTTAGTAAATATTCCGTATATTAACTTAGTATATATTAAAGACTAGAAGATGACCCGGTGAACTTCATATCATCTATAATTTATTTGAATTTCCCTTTGATCAATTATAACAAATCTTCAAAATGCAATTCAATGAGATTACTAATAGCTGTTATAGCTGATAAAAGATTCCACACCTATGAGATGTGCCACGCCTCCTTTTACAAAGTCATTTATATACATATATCTTTCTATAAGCACCTACCATAGGTATCTGTGCATTTCAAATTTTGAGTTCATGTGACTATAATTCCGAAGTTAGAGCTGATTAAAAATTTATTATGGGAGAACGATGTCAAAAAAAAATTTACCCGCCCTAATATACATACATATGTAGTGTGCATACCATCGAAAGGTTTTTGTGAGACTTAGGGACACTTTTATTTATAAAAATTTCAAAAGTAATTACTATTTTTCGTCCGTCACATACCGAATTTCCACAAGGCTTTAAAATTAAAAAAAAATGTGGGGCGTTTAAAAAATGTCATGTGGAAATGCATGCCCAACTTTGCCATTCGAATTTTTACAATTTGATTCCAAGCCAGTGTCGCCAAACATGGGCTTTTCCTACCAAAACTGGTAGTTTTTTTCCATTTGGTAGGTTGGTACGCTTGATTGGATTTTGGTAGGTTTCGGGACAATGAGTAATAATTATTTGCGAAAAATAGAAAATATGTACGTATCTGCAAACATTTTAGCAACCCTTTTTACACAAATATTTCATCGGTGCGTTCGCATAATGGCGGCCACAAACATGTAAATATACCTGATTCCTAAGTACAAACGTATACCTTATTATTGCCAATATGAAATACGGACATCCATATATCGTCACCTAAGGGTGAAAAGGTGCCAAGTCCATTTTTTGAAATTTTTCAGGAGAGACGAAAAATCTACGTAGTTTCGTATTACCGGTTCTGCACCAAAAACTAAACTTTGAAAAAAAAATGGACTTGGCACCTTTTCACCTTTAGGTAGCGATATAATTTATGGTGTACTTGTACCAATGTTGCCAGGTCTTCGGCATCAGAAAACGTCCCTCTTGGTCTGAAAAAACGTCATTTCCTACCCAAAAACGTCTTTTTCAAATGAATGTACAAAAATTGTTCTTATTTAAACCTTTATTGTATACAAAGGTACATATCGAGCCCTAACCGCCAAAATAACGTAAGCGAAATTTTTTTCAAAATTTTCTTTTTGATGCAGAAATATTCCTAGAGCATCTAGATGCATTTATGCATCAAAAAGAAAATTTTGAAAAAAATGTCGCTTACGTTATTTTGGCGGTTAGGGCTCGATATGTACGTAAAGTATATTAAAATATCATTTCGACAGAGCACAGTTAAAATTTATTGTAAACTGGTTTGAGATCCTTAATATAAAAATCATTTTATACATTCACTTGTGATCAACTGATTAAGTCGTCAACATTTTGATCGATTTTGGCTGTTTCCCTTTCGTTTATTTAATGTTGATTATTTTTCCATAAAAGCCAAGCTCATTAACAAACAAAATATAAATCCACAAAAATTGTGCAAAAATTATAAACAATCTGTAAATTTTCAGCTAGATTTTCAACTTTCTATTCAGATTTTTTAGCCCATTAAATTTCAGGGCAATAATGTGAAGTTTAAAGGGGCTAAATAATCGCGTTGATTTTTCTTGTAGAAATTTGGTTAGGGGCTCGGTTGTCGAAAATCCTAAATTACGTTCTGCTAAGAAGGAGCATAGCAATAGGTCCATTCAATATCAAAAAATTGTTACGAATTGTTACTAGTACTTGCAAGTTTTTACTGGAAATGCATTCAAGAGGGAGCGAATTCGAGAGCGTAACAACCCAGGAGTCCAAAAGTAATGTTATGTTTCAAATTCAAATGTAAACACCTATTTAAGAGCATGATTTGATGAAACATAATTAGTGAAATGAAAATATGGATGAAAAATTTAAATCTATTGTATATTTTTTTATTTTTATCACGATGGGAACTATTCCCAATTAAAAAGAAAATTGCGCGCCAAAACTTAACCGTCAGAAAGTATCAAAATGGCTTAAGTTGCAAGTTTTTACTAGTTTTGCGTTCAATAACTTTTTCTGAAAATTTTCTCTTGCTCTCAATTTTACTCTCTATTTTTCTTTTACGCTCTCGCTGCAAGTACTTACTGGAAAAGTTATTGAATGGACCTAATATTTCAGTACTTTTTGCGTTCAGTACATTTTCAATGAAGTCTTAAAAAAGTCGCCTACTTTTTTCTGATGTTTTATGCTGCACAGCTTTTTTGATGCTTTTACGAGCGTGCCTGCTGCAATAGATCGGCTTTACCTGATTTGGCTTTTAATGTGCAATTGCATCATTACAGCAAGCCTCGTAACCTCAAGTGTTTACACAACCAGCCGTTGAACAAGGGATCCTTTGGAGGAAGCAGCTGCAGCAAAACACAAAGATTGTAAAGATTTGTTAAGAAAATAATTCAAAATCAGTTCTGCTTATAAGATTTAGTAACAAAGAAAAATTACTGGGAAGTTAAAAAACGTCATTTTTTTACACAAAAAACGTCCAAACGTCAACAACGTACAAAAAACGTCCAAATGACGTTAAAAACGTCAACCTGGCAACGCTGACTTGGACCAAGATTCCAGAAAAGTCTGCCAATGTGCTCGTACTCAACCATATTTCAGGCGGAGGTCTTCCCAATCGAAGTCTGTGTTCGCGAATGTCATCGTAGAAGGCAAATGAGACCAGAATAAATATTATGTCGGACATTCAGGCAGCATTAAAGGCCTAAGAGTCTTTTAAAACGGCATCAAGGCTTGTAAACTCTTAAACCACAAGTGAGCCCACAATAGCGTCACGCTGTGGAGGGTTCATGGACATGAAGGGTTTCAAGGCAACGAAAGGGCTGACTGTCTCGCAAAGCGTGAAGCCCAAATGGGTTTGCATGGTCCCTAGCCTTTCTGCGGTACATCTAAAGAATACACTGCAGACCTACTTAGCAGCTAGCTGGGAATAATCTCAAATTGCTGCCCACTGGCGGAAGTCAAAGGGAGTAAGACAATCAAAGATATGCATAACTCTTCCCAGCAGGAACTCCGAAAGACACCTTGAACTTAGAACTCTTACTGGCAACCTGACAGCACACTGCAAGTTAACGTACGGTTTTAATTAAATGGGTCTGTAGAGACGGACTGTAGGGTTTGTCGGCTGGTGAAAGAAACCCCAGAGTATATTCTATGTGCCTGTCGACGAAGGATGAATCGTAGATTGATACACCTTGGAGAACGATTGACTTCTCCATCTAAAATTTGGAACATGGCCTCATCCAGAGTGCTGAGCTTTTTAAATAGCCTAAGGTTGGAGTGATTACAATTTGAATTTAGCACAATATATCTTCTTAGGTCGCAGCGCGGGTATCTTCGACGTAATAATAATAATATCGTCACAAGACACGAATAAAGAGCTCGGAAAAACTCTTTGGAGAGTTCTGGGGAATACTGTTGCACTCGAAAATATAGTTGACCGCCGACATAAGTTTATGGGTCTTTCTTCGCTGTCAAAGAGGTTAACGCGGCTTTATATGCCGTCACCTATGTTAAGAGTCTTTCTTCGCCGAAATTTTTTTACTCCTCTTTTTTCGCTATCAACTTTTGAGCTCGCGTCCATATTCCTATCTAGTGACGATATGAATGTATGTGTAAAGAGACATATGTACATATGGATAAGTCTGTACAGTAAAATGAATCGTTATACGCAGTTAATTTGTTTTTAATAATCTAGTTGTGTTTTAGTTTTACTAAATGTTATGTTAACTATGTTTTTAAAAAATTTAACATTGAAAACAAATATTAAAACTCAAAAAAACGTTTGGTATGTTTTGGTTGGTTATGGTAGGAAAAAAATTTGTCTATGGCAACGCTGTTCTAAGCCGAAATCGAGCATTATGCCAAATTTCCACTAGGCATTGAAATGACAAAAATGTATGCCATGTGGAAATGAACTTAATGACTGTAGTTTCAATGTAATGACACGATTATTTTTTAATGCCCGACTTTGTCATTTGACATTTTTGCCTTTTGATGTCTAGTGAAAATCCAGCATTAGACTCAAACTTTTAAAGCTCGAACAATAAAATTTACTTGATTATATGATATATTCAAACACCATCATTTAGCGTTTTAAAAAATGGACAACCAAATTAATGAATTTTTCTGGTTGTTCGAAATGAACCAAATGCCCTGCGTCAAGCCAATGTAGTTCCGCTTCAGGAAACATCTGTTGAATTTGCGGCCAACTCTTCGGGCTGTAGGGGAAAACAACAATTTAATATCTGCTAAAAACAAAAAATTTCACAGATCCTTACTCAACAAAATTTGACTTATTTCCGCAGATAAACATCACTGGTCCTTTAAAAGGAGGCAAATCTTTAATGTGCTCGAAAAAATCGTTAAACAATCTCAGGTTTTTATAAAGACTGTCTATATTTGGAATCCAGTAAAATCTGAAACAAAACAAAAATAATAGTCAAAGACACAAATATTCAATATATCGATGGTCCTGTGCAATAACGACACAATTCAAAA